GGGATGAGGGTCGCCGCGGGGAGCCCCGGGGTCGCGGGAGGCTGCGGGGTGGGGGGGCGGGCTGGCCCCGGGGCTGCGGGTGTGCGCCGGGTGCGAAGGCGGGGCCCGGCCGCCCTGCGGAGCGCGCTCGACGCCGGCCTGGCTGGGGCGGCCTCCGCATCCCCGGGAAAGATCGTCCCGTCCCGTCCCGTCCCGGGGCTTGCGACCCCCCCCCGGGGCTTCTCCCAGCTCAGCCGCCACCGCGCCCTCCCGCCCCGCGGGGCTGGGGCCCGGTGCTGCGGGGGGGGTCCCGGGAGGGGTGGGCAGCGGGGATGATGGAGGTGGCAGGGAAGCGCTGCCTTTGCCATGTCCTCCTGTTCCCTGGGGGTCCTGCTGCACCCGGGCGAGCTCTCGATCAGGACAGACTGACAGAGACCCGGGGGGCAGCAATATATATTTTTAAATTTTTTTTCTGTTGTCAAGGGAGGTATAAACACAAGGTTCTGATGGGAGTGGGTCTAGCAAAGTCAATAAACATGAAAGCTCAAGTGTCACCTCGTGGACAAAGTCAGGTAGACCTATCTTTTGTCCACGGAGTGGACATGCTGGGGCTGGTTTTAGGTTGGGGGGGCTGTGTGTCAGTAGCAAAGTGCTTTCAGTCCGCGGGGTTGAGCACACACCGGCCACCTTCAGTCTTCTCCCAGTCAGGAGGAATTTATGACCTGTAGATTCCTTCTTGCTGGACTAGATGGAGACCTGTCCCAGAGGTAGGGAGCTTCAATCTAATTCGGTGTATAGACCCAGCCCTGGACAAAATACACCAGCTCTTGCCCCTCCATGGATGCAGAGCTTGCAGAGTGCACATCATTTCCTCACCAGCTCCTTCGCAAAGGGATACGAGTGGTCCAAAATGCTGAACACTGCCCTCTGCTATGCAAATGCCACTCGCATCCCGGAGCAGCTGCTCCAGATGCTGCTCACCCAGGTGTTTGCCACGCTGGCTCTGGGGACACAGAACCCAAACATTCAATGTGTCTATGGGTCCTGAGCCCCCGTTTCTGCCTGTGGCCGACGCCAGGCTCCCAGAGACCCCGAGGACCTGCAACTCCCTCTGGGTGCAGCTCGTGCTGCTCCAAATGCTGCTGTGCGTGTCTCCCTGCCTCCTGTCTAACAGCTGCAAAATGGAAAAATTAATGCTGAGTCTCCTCATGGGAGTCTAGGCGGCTTACTTCATTTTTATGTAACTTGTTACGAGAACTCCGAATAAAAGGCAGAATTAAAATCTCATTTTATTTGTTCTTTATCTGGTTCCGAATAGGCTGTTTTAGAGCAATCTAATCTGGTGCCTGGTTTGCAGCCCCCCCCTCCCCACCCCGTGCATCCTCTTTAGTTGGTGTCAACAGCAAGTGAAGGGAATTCAGCGTTTTAGCATCTGAATGGAAATGTATGCTCCAGTCCTCATAAAGCCACGTTCACACACTAGCCCGATTAATAACTTTTTTGGCATTCTGTGGTGCTCAGTCCAGGGAAAATTACTGAGTAGATATTTACTATATTGTCAAACTTATTTTGAACTCTTCATGTGGGCCTCTCACCACCTCTCTGTGCAGTTATGCAATCTTGAAAACCACAAATTAAAGCCTCTAAACAGACGCAATAACAAATTGTGGTAGCTCTGAAGAAACCCCCAGGAAAAAAAATTGATCTCTCAAAGCGACCTCTTCAAACTCTGCTGACAGACAAAAGCCTAAGTAAACAGATGGGTTTGCAACCCTGAATATCAACAAACTTTGCTCTACTAGATCAGTCAGAGATATTCCGAGGTAAAAAAAAGTATTTGGTCTTATATAGCGTATTTGTAGCTGGAGAGGGACTTTGGAGATGACTTTTTCTCCATTCCCTGGAAACAACTTTGCTTTATTTTTGTAGCTTGAAGGAAACTTTTGAATTGGGGTTTCCTATTCAGCTGGGGATAGAGCAGAGAACCGAAGCGTTCTGCTAGAGCGGCCCACCGCTACGCTTTCCTAGGAGAGGAAAATTCAAATATAACCTGAGGTGGCTGTTTCTTAGCGAAAGGGTGGCTCTGGGTGGCCCTACAAGCCACGCACCGATGCATTCAGTCAAAGTGCAGCACTCCTGTATTTATCCAAAACTCCGTGGGAAAAGGTGGAATTCCTTCTGCAGCCCTTTGGTTCTCGGGAGGTTTGAAGTGACGTGTCGCTGCTGTTCTCACTTCTGTGTTATGCTGGACGGTTTTCAAAATCATGTGTTTTCACTCCAGTAAACCCTCTCTCTACTTCACGAGGGCCGTACCTCTCGGTCGGATCTTGGATTATTTTTAGGTACGTGAAGGTAGTCGGTCTTTCTAGGAATCTGTATCGCTGCTGCTAACAGTGTGGGCACTCGTGTCTTCCTGCGTCCTGGGGAGTTCATCGAATATATCCTCAAATACGGGATTTACAGTGGCACATCTGGTTATGGGTGGTTTTTACTCTTCTGCATGTGGTCTGTGGTTCCGCAGTCACTAACTTATATATATATAAGTTTATGTGTGTGTGTCCGCATGCGTGCACATACGGGGTTCAAATTATTTCCCTTTTCGAGAACTTTACAGTTGTAGTTTTTCTTCATTTGATAAATGTAATTTATAACTCTTTTAAAGTTCTTTTCGTAAACAGGAGCTACAAAATAAATTCAGCAACTTATAAAAACAAAACCTCAAAAAGCTGAAATTGAAAACATCGGGTCTGCTTTGATGTAGAGGACGTGTTGAAATGGTATATTTACATGTTTATTTTCTATTTTATAATTTCCTGCACAAAGGCACGCAATACTTTCTGACAGGAAACTAAATGTATTTTGGAAGAGTTCCACCTCTCATGTCATCTAAGCTACATGACGTTAATGCGTTAGAACAGAACTTTAAGTGGAGGGAACGAAAAAGACTTCGCTGAAGTTTGGATCTGGCCCTGAAATAAGAGCTGGACAACTTCTTCTCGTGTGAGCAGCTACCCAGTGGCTGCAGAGAGGAGCAGTAGTGCCGTGGCAAATTACTCACCTGTCTGGTGTACATAAGAAGTGGGTAAATGTCATATTGCTGAAATCAGAGGTGAATAAACTCCATTTGCAGTTGTTTGCTCTTGGTGACACCTCTGCAAAAAAGTTACCACAAGCTGGAGTCTGACTCAGGATCTACATCCCTATTAATCTTTCACCACTCTTAGATGTCACCGGCTTTTCTTTCCCCCCCTCCCATTTTTTTTTTTTCTCCCCCAAATATATACATGACTCAGAAAAAACCACGCAAAGTGAAGCACCTAGCCAATGCTTTGAGAATTGAAAGAAAAAAGTGCCGTGCCACAGATTGGTCTATAAAATCACCGACAGAACCATGGACTTTGATTCTCCTACCCTACCCTGGCATTCTCACCTTCCGATACATGATGAGTATGTCATATATGATAGTGAGGTTCCTTGCACTGAACCTTGTAAAGATTCCCCCCCTTGCTCCCTGCTTCTTGCTGACTCTGGGTTGAACTGGGCAGGAATTGTTTAATTTGGGGAGAGGAGCGATTCCACAGCTACAGGTCTGTCAGGACAACACTCAGGTGGACAACCCTGAGAAAGTGGAAACCAACATTTTCTTGAGTCTGTGAGCCACCTACCTAAGCTTTGCAGCGTGACCAAGTGCACAGCTCCCCTGATGTGTTAATGGATTTCTGCACCTGCCTCCACTCTGCTGCTCACCAGTGCCCCCGTTGTGCTAGCAGCCTCTCAGGCTGTGGGAGAAACTAGATATCCAAAAGGTTCTGCATTAAAAAATTCTAGTTTTAAACCCAGATGATTTTGGTGGCTGGGTTTACATTAGGATCCCTAAAATAGTGTGTGTTAGCACAACTTACGGTGCAATTTGATGAATGCCAAAAGGTGCAACTTTCCACCCTATTAATCCTTTTGCACTGCTTTGTGTGATCCTGCGGTGAACTAAGGGGGCAAAAATGTAGTTATTTCCTGACAGGTTAGTTCCCTAAACTGGCTCGTGACCAGAGACCCTCGAGTATGTGCCATCATTGTGCAAGATATTGCTTCAGATGTTATTAGTAACTAGTGTTGAAAGGCCTTATGTGTATTCTCACAAATAATGAGGATTCTATCCTTGGATTTATCAAGCATGGGCTAATGAAAAGAACTCCTAATCAAGGGAGGCGAGTATTGTATCACTCTCGAGGAGGCACAGCGAGCATAAGGACCTTGAGGATGGTACTAATCTACACATTTTGA